ACTGTGGAGATTGCGGCAAACTGAACTGCATACTGAATGGTACGCGCGGGCTGATCTGACCTGAATAACGACCAGGCTGATCGCTCTTAAAGAATCTCACTGTCGACAACCGGTGCTGAAGGAAAAAAATGTACGCGCACACACACACACACACACACACACGCACGCACACATGCAGGGGAGCTGTGACCCCATGCCACCCCAAAAAACAGAGGTCTCAGGTTTGATTAATTGTAGCTGGAGGGGTTATCAGAGAGCATGACACCAGAGTGCACAGATCATCTGCTTCAGAGATAAAACGGGGCAAAAAGAAGAAAGAGGACTAGTCAAAAGAAAGGAGGTCAGTATTGGGGAAGAAAGGCTACGGAACGGTAGGATTATCATGCAGAATCAAATTGATGGGGACAAAAAGAAAGTGACAAGAAGAATATTACAGTCACTTTTCAGTTTTGGCCTGTTTGATTCTTTGCTTTAGCCATACCTCTTTCAAACGTGTTCCTTCACCCGTGACGTATGAGCTACTGCGACATCAAATATGTGCTGCTCAGGTACGTCAGAGGCAGCCAGATGTAGCTATATAGATCCACGAGTGCTATTTAAAGCCTATTAGAATGCCATCTAACTTATATCATTAACAGGGGGTCATATTTCAAGCATGATGCCTCCTCATTGTTCCCATTTATATTCTTATGCACATCAATCGAGAAAGTGTTCTGTGATGAGACAAAGCTAGTACTTTCATTACTGGGTTTAAATAGTTAGATTTCGCTTAGTATTTAGGAACAATTTAAAGTAATAGCAGAACAGATTTCTAGGTATTTTTGCATTAATTGCTTGAAAATAACAAGCAGGACAAAGGAGCATGACCAGCCCAAATTACGCTATGTGCTGTCATGTCCATTTCTTTTTCACTTCAAGAGGTCTGGACTAAAGAAAGAAAGACAATATAAACACTCTCAAGTCTATGACATGTTATTTATCAAATACATATTTTGTATTAATAATAATAATAATAATGATAATAATGATCATTATTATTAATAATCATTATAATAAAAGGAGAATCAATCTGAATACAAAACTCTTGTAAAAATGTGTGTTAAGATGAAATAAGGGGAAATAAATTACTTGATTTAGTCTTGATGTTAAACGTACCCGTTTCAGCATCATGACAACCACTAACCAAGCCCAAGATGCCCACATATACTGATCTTACCTTCTCCCACTCTCTCTCCTTGTTGAGAACAATGACCACCAGCTTTGGATTTTCCTGGTAGCCGTCCTCCGTGAATGACAAGTCTCTGCCATCCCACGTCACATTCATCATGTACCTGAGAGCCAATGAGCAAAGGATAAGGAATTGCAGGTCGGATGGCAAGAAGTAAGACAGATGAGGAGGACGGAGAGGGTGATAATGGAAAATTCAGTAAATGAGACAATGAAAGGAATGAATAGTGGTGATGAGAAATAGAGGGGAAATGAAATTGAATTACATTAGCATGTGAAAAGTCAATTCACAATCCACAAGCATTGCAGACAACTTCTATTAACATGGAGTTTTTTTTTTTTGCACTGAGAGTTGTAGTCATGTTTTATTAATGTGACGGATTATGATTATACCCAAAAATGAAGGAACCAAACAAAAGCATCAAAAAGCATGTGTTGCCGCACAGTTCAACAGCTACTATAAACGTCAAGAAGAAGAAAAGGAAAGAAAAGACAATGTCCGATCCATCCTGAGCAAAAATTACTTCAATATAATTAAAAAGGCTATTGCTTCTAAATCATTGCAATGAACAGTTGTTGTATCAGAATGGTATTTGCAGTTCGGAAAATCTACGTTTACATTCATTATATGAAAAAAATCTAATTCACATGCAATCTAGCAAAGCTGACCAGGTTAACACCAAACAAGCCTGAAATGAGCCAAGGAAGATCGGACAAAAGTGCTAAATTATGAATCAGTTTCTTCGGAAATAGTTGTGCCTGGATATCTCATCGGAAGCGAAATTCAAGATTTCCACTGACACTTTTCCGATTTTTTTTAAAATAAAAGAAGCATTCTATGCTTTAGTGTACAGCAGGTGTGACATGGTGTAATACAAAATATATATCTCTACAATAAGTGACTAATCACTGCTATATTTCCAAACCCTCCTTTAACACAGAATTTTAAAGAATCTACAAAAACATCTCTGAGTGTGTTTATGATGTACGCAAGAGGAAATGTCCTACTTGTGGACTTAGAAAATAAAGCAGCCATTACGAGGTGATACAAATTTGAGACATCTGTCATTTCTACAC